GTGAGGACAATTAATAATACTACGTACAATAATATGTATATATATATATATATAGGATTTAAAGATTTCTGGTATGCAAGAATGAATCAAAAAAGGCACCTTGACCGATGCAAAATCCACCCATTTGTTTTTTTCTTTAGTTAAAGCTAATTAAAATACGGTGTTGCCAATCATGATTTCACAAGAATATGAGAATTGATATATTCCACGCGCTATTATCACACGTTCGACGACTACAATATTCATTTCAAGTTTTTGTTATATGATTGTTCTTAGGGTTCATATCTTTTGATTTGATTTGATTGGATTTGATGTACCAAAAAAATATATACAGTATATATATATACACACGTTTTTAATCAATTTTAATAATTTCAAAACAATGAAATCCGATAAAACTCGTGAGCTTATTTTAATAATTTCATAAATTGAGCTTACTTTATAAATAGTTTAGTATTGTAAAAATTTGTTAACTTAAATTAAGCATTATTTAGATCTAGCTTTTATATCCTAAATAAAATAGAAAAATTGCAAGTCTAGTTTCTAAAATATGTTAATAAAATCATGATTGGCAATGTCATTATTTATTTATTTACATTTTATGAATATAAATTTATAACATATAAAATTTTACAAAATGCTCTTCTTAAATTTTTCTTAAAAATGTCTATATTTCTTTCTTTTTTTACCCTTCTTAGTTCTTACTCTTCTTCAAATTATTTTTGATTCTCTTAATATATATATATATATATATTGCATTCTCTTTCTTCAATCAACCTCTAATTTTTTCCCCTTCAAAGTTCTCTCATATCTTTTTCGTTTTGTTTTACTCTTCTGTGTTTTAATTTCCTTTTTCTTCTTCTTCATGAAAAAGATAAGCAAGTCATGAAATCACATTTTTCTAATGTTAGTTACGTTTTGAACACTACTGCATTATGAAAGGGGAAAAAAATGTCATTGTCGCTTATTTTTGCTGCTGTAGGTGAAAAATTGTACTGAGAATTTCTTTTAAAAGCAAATATAATGTAAATTCAAATATTTTTCTGTAAAATATTGTGCAACAAATTAGTTATCAAATATGTTTTTGTTTCAGAATAAATCAGAAGAAAAAAAAATAAAAAAAATTGCCTTTGTAGCATATGAAACTGAAAATGCAAAATGGAAATTATTGCCTTAAGGTCCGTATTTTATATTTCTGAAATTTTTACAACAATTTTTTATTTTCTAATTAATTGTGTGAGTCCATGAGTTACACTTTCTATTTTTCGACTCCTTGTCTTCTTGTATCGTTAATTAGAAATATATATATATATATAAATATATATATCATGTTCAGTATGCTCTTCAAAATATTTTTTTTTATCATTGTTAATATTTATTTTTTCAATGAAAAATGAGATGTGAGTTATTTATGCAGAAACTGATAGGTAACTGTTCAAATAACATTATATAATTGGAAGTGGATATCATCATACACACACACATATATATATAATCCGTATATATATATATATAGACACACATACAATGCATATATAACATCGCAACAATTTATCCTCTAAAATCATCTCACAATTGAAGTGGGTGGAGGAAAAAAAAGACGTGAACCGTGGTGCACGTGTTTGATTCATTGAAAAAGTCAAAAAGAATAATTGAAAGTCCATAGTGACGAGAAGTTTCCCTCCCATACCCAAAAACAAAATATACACAAACACACACACATATATAATAATAATTGAGTACTACTTGTTGTTGTTAATGTTTTTTTATTTATTTATTTTTTTAATTAAAAACTCAATACACCCGCTAGTCATTTTAAACACTCACATCCTTTATAAATTTTGAATACATGCAATATAGCTTTAATGCTTCTCATGCTGACTATCTAAATAACAAAAAAAAAAAAAAAACTAATAAACATATTTATGTAAATGACACATAATGTTATATTATCATTATCGTTAATTATTTTGTTTAGTCAAAGAAGTGTTTTACATAAAAAAATGAATTTTCCACAGTATAGTGATAATGTATTTACTTTAAAATGAAAATTTCCATATAAGTACAGCGATGTGTGTGTACATCTATATATATATACATATATATATATATATATAGATGGGGGAAGATCAACTTCCCATTATCCACGCCACAACTGCTAAGTCTTTCGCTCCTAAATGACCTTTTGGCTTTTGGCCTTTCCATCAATCTGTGATTGGCTGTTGTATCTGTCAGTAGTTCATGGATATAATATAATATTTTATTGATATATGGTACAACCTTTTTGACCTATAAATACAACCCCATCTTCACATTTTATTTCATTGATTCCTTCTAACACTACTTTTCCTTTCTATTAAGTCGCCCACTATTTCCTTTCCTTTCTCTCTGTAGCTAGTATTTTGTTAAGAAAAGAAAATGTTTCATAAGGTTTTGGAGGCTTTCGCTGGTCATGAAAATGAGAAGAAGAAGGTGAAAGGAACAGTTGTGTTAATGAAAAAGAACGTTTTGGACTTCAATGACTTCAATGCTTCGGTTCTTGATCGGCTTCATGAATTTCTTGGCCAAAAGGTCTCTCTGCAGCTCATTAGTGCTGTTAATGGTGACCCAGGTCAGTTCTTATATATAAATCTTGCTGCTTGTTTTAGATTAGATTGATATATATATATATATATATATATATATATATATATATATATATATTGATTCAATAGTTTAGTTAATTTGGAATGTACCGTATAGAACTAAACAAAGCAAATGATTTATTTATTTATTTTACCGCGAAGAATATGGTGTCACTTTAGCATTACAGTCCATGTGTTAGAGAATCTTCTTTCTTTTGTCTTCTTTGTATGGATTCGATTCGCTTAGTCTTAGAAGTTAGCATTTAGCATTTAGCAAGCTAGAACATAAAGATGAATCAAGATAACGGAATATAATCACATCCATTTATTTTTAAGGAGACTCGAAAATTCACTTTCCATTTTGAGAGGCTGAGATACATAGAAAAACTTCCTTAAGCACGTTGTATCGTGCAACTGGCACATCCCGTAATTTTGTTGTTATTTTATTATTTTTGAAATAATTTTAAGAGTAACGGAGCTTGAAACATTCAATAATGTGATTCACGAAGGAACGGTTAAGGAAGGAGGAGAACGGTTCCTGGTGTCTTTTGTGTGTGTGTTTTTGTGTAGCAGGTAAATATATATATATATATATATACACACTCCGTATGATATTAGAAAAATGAAATGAAATTAATATCTTTCTGGGTTATTAGCTTTTATAAATTTAAATTTAATGTATGAGTTATTTGGGTTAGTGTTTGTTTGTGCAAAAATGGTTTGTATATCTATGAAAAACAAAAGTGTTTTGTATTATATTAAGATTATGAAGTGCCAACCAACCGAAAGAAAATGAACTACCATTCATTCCTGTGAGTCCCTTTGACTACTTTATGACTGCTTCATTCATTCTCTCTCTCTCTCTCTCTCTCTCTTCCTTTTAGGGGTGGGGCTCACTTAGTTTATAGTCTAGTTTCTTTTAAGCAAATATTTCTTCTTTCACATGTTTTGGACCCTTTTTTTAATTTTTGAAAATTTTATTTTTCTAATTAATCACATTCTATATTTTGGAGTACTGATGCTCTAAATGGAGGAATTTCAGTTTCAAATAGATACTCTTCAATTCCAAAATCAAGACACAAGCCAATTTATAAGAATTTAAAATTTAAAATTATTTTTAATGGTTTTTGTTCTGAACAAAATTCAAAAAACAGAGCCTTATTTCTTTATTCAATTTATCTTCAACCTATATTGGCATCCTATAAGGATCTGACGTGGACCTACTAATGAATGTACTAGCCACCCAATTTTCAATCCCTCTTCAAGACTTACAATAGCCTGTTCAGACTTGAGAGTAAATTTGTAGGGTCTATAGTCAGAGTTGCACAACACCAATGATTTTTCAAAATTCTTCTTCTTTTTTTTTTTAAGAAAAAAAAATAATCTTAATTTTGTTAGGAACAATTTTATTGGTAGATTATTACCTAAGTGGTTAAGTTATTTCTCATTATCGAACCTTGCACCCACGACTTTGCACCCACCCTCTCTCTTCTAACAACTAATTTCTTAATATTCTTGCCTTGAAAAAAAATAATAAAGTCACATTTTGAGTTTATTATTTATATTTGCATATCATTTATTGGAAGTAGGCGTATACGAAAATAATTTTTTAAAAATATATAATTAAATTATAATATTATTCTTTAAATTGCAGTATTAATCTATATTTTGTTAATATGGAAACAATTAAAATAAGATCATTTATAAAAAAAATTTAAAAAAAAAATAGGCATACATACAATACATATATATATTTTTATGTTTATTCATAAAAAGAATAATCTTAATTTTGTTAGGAACAATTTTATTGGTAGATTATTACCTAAGTGGTTAAGTTATTTCCCGTGATCGAACCTTGCACCCACGACTTTGCACCCACCCTCTCTCTTCTAACAACTAATTCTTTAACATTCTTACTTTGAAAAAAAATAATAAAGTCACATTTTGAGTTTATTATTTATATTTGCATATCATTTATTGGAAGCAAGCGTATACGAAAATAATTTTTTAAAAATATATAATTAAATTATAATATTATTCTTTAAATTGCAGTATTAATCTATATTTTGTTAATATGGAAACAATTAAAATAAGATCATTTATAAAAAAAATTAAAAAAAAAATAGGCATACATACAATACATATATATATTTTTATGTTTATTCATAAAACTTTACATGTATGTAATAAACTATATATTTATATATAAGTGGGGGCAGCATCAACATCCACCCATTATTCCACATATTGTATAATTTGAGCACTAATGGAAATTTGTAGGTGTGAATGTGTTACATAACTCAAAAATAAATAAATAAAGAAACATCCACTTGATATAATATCTTAAATGACCTTTCTGGCCAATATAGACTTAATGAGCGACGACCTATGGTACTCCTCCGTACACCTTTTGTCTATACGATTAATGACAACGAACCAACCTTCTCGATTACTAATCTCCAACCAAAAAAAAACACTCTTTGATGTCATTCATTGTAACACAACTTTTCCTTTCGGTCCATCACACCCTTTCTTGCTTTCTCTCTAGCTAGACGAGAAAAAAAAACACTCGATTAAAAATGATGTTAATTCGTAAGATTTTGGGAGCTATTTGTGGTGAAAATGAGATCAAGAAGATCAAAGGAACAGTAGTGTTAATGAAAAAAATCGTTTTAGACTTCAATGACTTTAATGATTTGGTTCTTGATGGGGTTCAAGAATTGATTGGCAAAAAGGTCTCTCTGCAGCTCGTTAGTGCTGTTAATGGTGACCCGGGTGAGTTCTTAACTTGCTTGTTGTTTTTCATTATATATATATATATATATATATATATATAAATTGACCCTTTTTTCTCTTATGGGTCACGATCCTATTCTATAACTCTCTTATAGTGTTTAGGGTTTGGGATGTGTTAAAACTTGTAATTTTATTTTATTATTATTATTATTATTATTATTATTATTATTTTTTGTGTGTGTTCTTTGTGTGGTTTGTGTTTGGCGTCTTTTGTTGATTTTTTTAGTTGTTCATGGTTTGCGGTATTCGTCGCAATAGATACTTTATTTTTTTCATGTGCAACCTAACCTGGGAATGAGCTACTTAATGACTACTTCATTCAGTTTGGAGCCAAGGTTTCTTGTAGGGATCTATTTTACATAATTTTTTTTTGGTCCCTGAACATGTTTTAATATTTTCAGAAATCCAGTCAATTTTCAAAGACATTTTAAATTTTAATTTTTCCAAAATTTTGTACTTACTTTTTAATGCAATTTATCCTCAACCTCACATTGGCATCCTTTAAGGATATATGAATTGGACCACCAACAGATCCTAGCAGCCAATTTTGAACACATTTTCCACCTGTAGCCTTTTGATCATTCACACACACACACACACGTATTGGGTCAGGGGCAAAGAGTTTCACAACACCAATGATTGCTGAAATTCTATTAAAAAAAGAAAAAAGAAAAACACTTTTATAGGTAGATTATACAATGAAGCCACATTTGAGTCCATAGATGCATATAATTTATTTGGTGGTATCCAGCTTGCTATAAGTCAAATTTTAAGCTCAAAAAGGGTGAAAAAAAAAACCAAAAATGTGCTAGCAAAGTTTTTTAACATTTACAACCTCAAACTGATCTAGCTATAGTCAGGCAATGCAAATCTTGATCCAACTAAGGAGATCATACTAAAAAATTTAATATTAAATTGACTAGCAATTTTTTTACCAAGTAGACACTGAATTGTTGATGTTTTTGTTATATTTTGTTGGATAAGTTGATCAGTTATAAACTAGTATTAAACTAAGTTTGAATATGGTGTAGAGAAAGAATTGAGAGGGAAACTGGGAAAGCCAGCATACTTGGAAGACTGGATTACTACAATCACTTCTTTAACTGCGGGGGATTCAGCATTCAATGTCACATTTGATTGGGATGAAGAAATAGCATTTCCGGGAGCATTCATAATCAAAAACTTCCATCACAGTGAGTTCTACCTGAAGAGCCTCACGCTTGAAGATGTTCCCAGTCATGGTAGGATCCATTTTGTCTGCAATTCTTGGGTTTACCCTGCTGAAAAATACAAATATGACCGCATTTTCTTCACTAATCAGGTATGGGTTTTTATTTGTTTAAGTACTAATATGTGGTGCACAATCTCTTAAATTTTGAAGTGGCACACATCACTCTTTTTAAGTGTGTTTTTTCAAGGAACTTCAAGTGACAAACACCTTTGTTACAACAAAATTTTATGGCATTTTTTAGATTCTAGTCTTCAACGAAGGATTTTTATATATGATTTATTTTAACTCAATTTAGTAGATATGTGCTTCTTTAAGAAATGACATCACGTGTAATTACTTTATATTATTAGAGCAAAACATGATATATGAACTTGTAGAATTTAGCAGCATACAGAGTTTACTATTGCTATGTAATTAGGATAGATTTTTCCTAGAACAAAGTTATCCTAATATATTTAAGTTTTTGTTCCTAACTAAGAAAGCAATGTGAATGAACAATCTTTTAAATTGTTTGCTAAACAAACAAACTACGTAATTTTTGCTGCAGACATATCTTCCAAGTGAGACACCAGCGCCACTACGTCAGTACAGAGACAAAGAATTAGTGAACTTGAGAGGAGATGGAACCGGGAAGCTTGAAGAATGGGACAGGGTGTATGACTATGCTTATTACAATGATTTGGGAAATCCTGATAAGGGTGAGAAGTATGTCAGACAGGTTCTTGGAGGATCTACCGACTACCCTTATCCTAGAAGGGGAAGAACAGGCCGGCCACCAACAGAGAAAGGTTAGTCATTTGTATTTATTTCCACATATATGTCACTATTGGCAATGCCATACTATGAAATCTTGTTTCCAGTATTGTTAGTCATATTGATTTTCTGCTATTATCATGATTCATGACAGATCCTAAATCAGAGAGCAGGCTGCCTCTTATTAAGAGCTTAAACATTTATGTTCCGAGAGATGAGAGATTTGGCCACTTGAAGATGTCGGATTTCTTAGCTTATGCACTGAAATCCATAGTTCAATTTCTTAAACCCGAGTTTGAGGCTCTATGTGACAGCACACCTAATGAGTTCGACACCATTGAAGATACACTGAAACTCTATGAAGGAGGATTCAAGCTACCTGATGGCCCTTTACTTGATAGTATAAAGGAAAATATCCCACTGGAAATGCTCAAGGAACTCATTCGGACTGATGGCGAGGGATACTCCAGATTTCCAATGCCACAAGTAATCCAAGGTATTGCATATGTCTCAATACAACCAGATTTGTTTAGTACAGACTTTGAGTGATTTCTTCAAAAAAAACAAAATTTATTTTTTATAATGCATTATTTACACTTTTCAAAGTGGAATTATCAATTCTTCATTTTCATTTTCATTTTTAATTGTAATGTTTTTGTGGTGTTGAGCAGAGGATAAATCAGCATGGAGGACAGATGTAGAATTTGCTAGAGAAATGCTGGCTGGTGTGAACCCTGTCAGCATATCTCGTCTGGAGGTAAAACAAAACTCATTTTTCTCCATTTTCTTGCTGACAACACATATAAAAAATTTAAAAAAACAACAACAACAATAAAACAAAAAAAGAAAAAGAAATTTGCAAGTGAAATTTGGTTGTCAAACCTTCTCTTCTTTCTCCCTTCTCCTCAGCAACCAGACAAAGAAAGGTACTTTTTTGTTCTTTAGTTACAAGTTTAAAACAATTGCTATTTTGCAGGAGTTTCCTCCAACAAGCAAGCTGGATCGTGGAGTATATGGCAACCAAAATAGTTCAATAACCAAAGAACACATAGAGAACAACCTAGATGGTTTATCAATAGAAGAGGTATTACTCATGAATTCCTTTTTCTAACACTAAATATTGGCAATGAAATAGTAGTACAAAATCCCAATCAGAGCTGATTCTGATCATGTAAACAAAACCATAATGATTCGGATTTTTGTTTTTGGTATAGGCACTCAAGAACAATAGACTATTCATATTGAATCATCATGATGATCTGATGCCATACGTGAGGCGGATAAACACAACTTCCACAAAGATTTATGCGACAAGGACTCTTCTCTTCTTGCAAAAAGATGGATCTTTGAAGCCATTAGCGATTGAATTGAGCCTGCCACATCCGGAAGGAGATCAATTTGGTGCCATTAGCAAAGTATACACACCAGCTGAGCATGGCGTAGAAGGTTCCATTTGGGAGTTGGCAAAAGCTTATGTTGCCGTAAGTGACTCTGGCATTCATCAGCTGATCAGCCACTGGTATAAAGCTTTAACTCTGACAACTAAAATCCGGGCTCTAATTTATAATCGGTGCTTAAAATATCTTTGATTTCAACTGCAGGTTGAATACCCATGCAGCCATTGAGCCATTTGTGATTGCAACAAACAGACAACTGAGTGTGCTTCATCCAATTCACAAGCTTCTGCATCCTCATTTCCGGGATACAATGAACATAAATGCATTTGCCAGGCAGATTCTCATCAATGCAGGTGGAATTCTTGAGATAACAGTTTTTCCGGGAAAATATGCCATGGAAATGTCAGCTGTGACTTACAAGAATTGGGTTTTTCCTGAACAAGCACTTCCGGCTGATCTTGTCAAGAGGTAAATCTCAAGTCTAATCCACAATGACACTCCAGAACTTAACTCAGTAAAGATTTTATTCACACAATAATAATTGTAAAAAATACACAATAATACAAAACAACGAAAATGAGAGCAATATTCGAAAAGTGATCTTACTGATTCACATGCTACATTTTATATATTCAGAGGGATGGCAATTGAGGACTCAGATTCCCCACATGGCGTCCGCCTACTAGTAGAAGACTACCCGTATGCAGTTGATGGATTGGAAATCTGGTCAGCAATCAAAACATGGGTTGAGGACTACTGCAATTTCTACTACAAGACCGACGAAATGGTTCAGAAAGACACTGAACTCCAATCCTGGTGGAAGGAAGTCGTAGAAGAGGGTCACGGTGACAAGAAAAACGAGACGTGGTGGCCTAAAATGCAGACATGTAAAGAGCTAATAGATACATGCACTATTGTCATATGGGTGGCTTCTGCACTCCATGCAGCTGTCAATTTTGGACAATACCCTTATGCAGGGTACCTCCCAAATCGCCCAACCATAAGCCGGAGGTTCATGCCTGAGCCAGACACTCCCGAATACGAGGAACTCAAGTCCAACCCTGAGAAGGCCTTCTTGAAGACCATTACCGCCCAGCTGCAGACTCTTCTTGGCATTTCCCTGATAGAAATCTTGTCCCGGCATTCCTCGGATGAGGTTTATCTTGGCCAGAGAGACACTCTTGAATGGACAGCAGATGAAGAACCATTGAAAGCCTTCGGGAAATTTGGACAGAAGCTGGAAGAAATTGAGGGAAAAATTATAGAGATGAACAACGATACGAAATGGAGAAACAGGGTTGGTCCAGTGAAGGTGCCATACACTTTGCTCTTTCCTACCAGTGAAGGTGGACTTACTGGCAAGGGTATTCCTAACAGTGTCTCAATCTAAAGCTTTTCCTAGTCAGATTGACTGCTAATTTGACACCAAAATTCTATAGCAGTAAAGCGTGTATCATTTATCAATTCTTCACTTGTAATGATGGTATGTGTATGTAGAATTCTGAGAATGTTATAAGTACCTATCTTATAAACTTTGTTCTGCTATATATGCCAAAATATGGAGGATCAAGAACTTGCGAGAGCATTCTTAGATGTGGATATGCAGAGATAAAAAAATGGAGAAAGGATTTCACCTCTTAAGTTCATTTTGATTATGTGTGTTACTCATTGTTCACTGTCCGCGTTGCCACTACACGAAGACTGTGTAACAGATCAGACTCGGAATCAATTATTGCGGTTGTGAAATGTTAAAATTGGGTGGGTGCTCAGGGCGGAGCCAGGATTTAAAAATAAGGGTGGCTAAAGAAAAAATTCAAGTAGATAATTTAGTGGGGAAAAAAAAAATGAGAATATGAAAACACTAAAAACAATACCACATCATATCAAACCGCCCCTAGGTCTTTTTCAATCTTTCGGTTCTAATTTGTTTGTAAGCTTGTTTTTTGAGTTGGGCCATTTATCATTTATGTTTTATTATGGACTGGACAGCTTGGGCTGGGCTATAGCTATTAAGAAATAATAATACTTTTTTTTTTTTTTTGAGCCATTTCTTAATCCAATTTATCCTCCACCTGTATATTGGCATTCTTAAAGTATTTGGAGTTTATGAAATTTTTTAAGTTAAATAACAATTTTTTAGCAAGTGCACAGTGATTTGTAGATGTTTTCCTTGCATGTATGTGTGTATACACAAAAGAACTATATTTATTTATGAAAATTTTTAAGTCGACACTAACCAAAGAAATATACTATTTATTTATAAAACTTTACATGTATGTGTGTATAATACACACACGTGAGGCAAGATCAACATCCTTGTATAAATGACTTTTTCCTCTTTCATCAATCTAATTGTCGGACTTGTGTAACAAATGGATCCGCAGTAAACGGATCCATAAACTAACATTATCTCCAGTGCACGACTTAGGACATCTTTTTTGCCTATAAATACAACTAACCTTCTTAATTTCTTTCATTCCATTTGTTATTACACTTTTATATATATATAAGTTGTCCATCATATTAATTCTTTGCTTCTCGTGTCTCTAGTTAGTCTTTTGTTAAGTTAAAAAGGAGGAAGAAAAAAAAATGTTAATTAATAAGGTTTTGGGAGCTATAAGTGGTGAAAATGAGAACAAGAAAATCAAAGGAACAGTTGTGTTAATGAAAAAAACTGTTTTAGACTTCAATGAGTTCAATGCTTCGGTTCTTGATCGGGTTCACGAATTGGTTGGCAAAAAGGTCTCTTTGCAGCTCGTTAGTGCTGTTAATGGTGACCCAGGTGAGCTCTTAACTTGCTTCTTGTTTTTCATAATCTATATGTTTGTGTGTGCGCGAGCCTGAGTGTGAATATATATTGTATATGTGTTTGTTGTACTTTTAGATTTTCAAAAGTTTATTTGTGTCGGACATTAGGGAAAATCACCTTGATAATTTTGATGTTTTTAAGACTAATAGAGCTTGGAACATTCAGTGCTTCGTGAATTTATTGGGAATTTGGTGTTGGGGCACAGCGGAAACAAAAGAAAGAACGAAAACAACAATTCAAACCACAACACAAGATATATACGTGGTTGACTAAAAATCAGGTTACATTCACAGATGAGAAGAAATTTTCTACTATTATAATATCTCTACATATATAGTGAATTACGGATTTGGTAGGGGTGAGTTACGAGTTTGGTAGAGTGAACACTGATGGCGAAAGAAAGTCTCGTGGAGTACACGGAGAACTCGGTCAAGAGTTTGTGTGCATGGTCCGGTATTAAAATTCTCTACTATTGTAATATCTATATATATATAGTGAATCTCTTCTTATCTATGGATGTAACCCTGATTTTGGGTGAATCACGTATATATCTTGTATTGTGGTTTGAATTATTATTTTCGTTCTTTTTTTGCTTCCGTTGTGCCCCTACAACTAGTATCAGAATCAAGGTGAAGATTGTTAGGAATTATGTCTCAAATTTCCATTATTGTTTTTCTTTCTTCCTTTTGCTTCCGCTATGCCCCCAACATTTGGGATCCATGCGTGAATTCTAATTTTCTATTTTATTTTTTCTAACGCTATAATGCTTTAACTTTTGTGACACCACCTGTTATCATAATTTTGTTCGACCTATACATTTAATGATATATTTTTGCATATTTAAACTATCTTAATTAATTTAAAATTTGGTTGATAATGAAACAATGATGTGGGTCCCATCACAAAAACTTGTGATGGAACTCACAAAACTGTCACACAATGGTGTAATTAATTTTTTCACATTTTATGTTCAATTGGTATTATTTTAATGAGCGTAAAAAAAACAAATAAATAAATAAAACCCTAAATTATTTTTTATTAAATTTTCTCTTATTTAAATATTAATTATACCATTTATCTTAATTTTATAATTAGTATCAATTAATTATAAAAATAAAAAAAAAAATTAAATTTGTAATTATCATTTTCTAAAATGATTAACTTATTATAATAAAACTTATTATACTAACTTTAAAAAAATTTAATATATTCATGGAAATTAAAAAATTACTTAACTTGTTAATATTTTATCAAATTAGTATGAATTTTTTTCATAATTTATTTTAACAAGAAAAATATATCAAGTGTAATTCAATAAGAAAGGGTATTATGATCATGTAACGAAAAATAAGTAAAATAGCACAAGACATAGTTCAGGCAGATTATTTACAAATTTAGACATAGTTGAGGGATTTTTTTTTTGCACTCTACCCTTTTAAAGATGTACAAATAGAAATGTACAACTCTCTCAAATCCTAACCCTAACCCTAACCCTAACCCTAACCCTAATACACTCTTTTCTATTAAACTCTGATATCTTCATTTCGAAATTTCACTATTCAACCTGCACAATACAATCCCTAACACCCTTATATATATAGAATAAAAAATAAAATAAAAAAATTGCCAGCTGATTCGTGTGTCAAAAACGGTGAATTGGAGCCATAAATCAGCATATCTCAAAAGTATCATTCTTCATTGTCTACCATGATATATAAATACTGATCGTAAGTGTATAGAAAAGCTAGTTCATACATTAATTGTAAATTTATTCATGCTGATAGCAAAAATATTAAATAATAGTCATTTTTCAAATATACATACATATATATGGAAAAAACACTTACAATCAGTATTGGTGTTTTTGTGCACCAAGTGTTTGTATTATTTACCGAAAGGAAAAAACTAACCCAACCTTTATAAAACTGTGAAATGAAAAACTACCAATATTCCTGTGAGTCTCTATTAGCTACTTTATGACTGTTTCATTCATTCTCTTTTCTTATCTATTATCCAATAAGTTTGCGATCAGTTAATAAACTATTGAGCTAAAGTTTGAATGTGGTGTGCCTCTGTAGGGAAAGTTGGAAAGCCAGCATTCTTGGAAAACTTGGTTACTACAATCACCTCTTTAACTGCAGGGGATTCAGCATTCAATGTCACATTTGATTGGGAGGAGGAAATAGGAGTTCCAGGAGCATTCATAGTCAAAAACTTTCATCAGAGTCAGTTCTACCTTAAGTCCCTCACGCTTCATGATGTTCCCGGTCATGGCCGGCTCCATTTTGTCTGCAATTCTTGGGTTTACCCTACTGGCAAGTTCAAAACTGATCGCATTTTCTTCATTAATCAGGTATGAAAATAATACAAGATTTATGTTTAAACCTTTGAAATGACCTATTTTACCTTATATATATATGCTTCTTTTAGAAACCACATCATATATATTTTTGCTTTATGTTTATAGAACAAAACATGATATATAAAAATGTAGAATTTAGTAACATACATGGTTTACTAATAATATGTAATGAGGATAGATTTTGGCATCGTAATAGGAAGGAGAGACATAGTTTGTAGTAGAAAAGAATGGAAAAAGAGAATTCATGTAACTCACTCCATCGTATGGGATAAAGACAAAGATGATGATCATGATGATGAAAATACAGGGCAACCTAATACATTAATGCTACTCATGAGAGTCTTTTGTTCCTGATTAAGAAAGCAGTGTGACTGAATGAGTTATCCCGAGGTTGTTGAATTGTTTGCTAAACAAACGAACTACGTAATAATTGGTGCAGACATATATTCCAAGTGAAACACCAGCACCACTTCGTCAGTACAGGGAAGAAGAATTAGTGAGCTTGAGAGGAAACGGAACTGGGAAGCTTGAAATATGGGACAGGGTTTATGACTATGCTTACTACAATGATTTGGGAAATCCTGATGGGGGTTCAGAGTATGTCAGACCAGTTCTTGGAGGATCTACCGAGTACCCTTATCCTCGAAGGGGAAGAACAGGCAGACCACCAACAAAGACAGGTTAGACATCTGTATTTATTTCCATATATATGTTGTTCTTGGCAGTGGCATATTCACACTTTGTGAAGCAATCAACACAAGAAGTAATTTTTTATTTAGCACTCGATCAAAATTTAAAATTATTACCCTGAAATGTTGCTACTATTAGTCTGTTAGTCACGTTTATTTTTTTGCTATTATCTTGACAGATCCTAACTCAGAGAGCAGGCTGCCATTTACTTTGAGCACAAACATTTTCTTTTATGTTCCAAGAGATGAGAGATTTGGTCACTTGAAGATGTCGGATTTCTTAGTTTATGCACTGAAAGCCTTAGCTCAATCTCTTATACCTGCCTTTGAGGCTATATGTGACAGCATGCATAATAAGTTCGAGTTGGACACCTTTCAAGATATGCTAAAACTCTACGAAGGAGGAATCAAGCTACCTGATGGCCCTTTACTTGACAAGATAAAGGCTGATATCCCCTCAGATGTGCTCAAGGAACTTATTCGGACTGATGGTGAGGGATACTTGAAATTTCCAATGCCACAAGTGATCAAAGGTATTAAATGCAACCACAATTGTTTAGTACAGACACTTTGAGTGACTTTTATTCTAAAATTTTGCATCATTTTTTGTAATGCACAAAATACAATTTTTAATTAGGAACTACTGATTCTTCATTTTCTCCTTCATTTAATTGTAATGTTTTCATGGTGTTGGGCAGAGGATAAATCTGCATGGAGGACAGATGAAGAATTTGCAAGAGAAATGCTGGCTGGTGTGAACCCTGTCAGTATTTGTCGTCTTGAGGTAAACAAAACTTATTTATATTTTTATTCTCCTTTTTATTCTTTTTTTTTTCTTCTTACAATATAAAAAATTAAAGAAATTTTGAAGTCCTTTGGTTGTCAAATCTTCTTTTCTTTCTCCCTCTATCTCAGCAACCAGAGACAGATAGTTTTTGTTCTTTAATTATTACATTCTAATTTCCTTTACTTGCAGGAGTTTCCTCCAACAAGCAAACTAGATCCTGGAGTATATGGCGACCAAACCAGTTCAATAACCAAAGAACACATAAAGAACAACCTAGATGGGCTATCAGTAGAAGAGGTAGCACTCACGAATTCCTTTTTCTAGCATAAATTACTAGCAATCGAATAAAACAAAGTCCCAATCGGAGCAGATACTGATCATGTACACAAAACCATATTGATTCAGAACTTTGCCTTCTTATTTTTTATTATTATTTTTTTTTTCGGGAATAGGCAATCAAGAACAATAGGCTATTCATATTGAATCATCATGATGGCCTGATGCCATACCTGAGGCGAATAAACACAACTTCCACAAAGACTTATGCCACAAGGACACTTCTGTTCTTGCAAAAAGATGGATCTTTGAAGCCATTGGTGATTGAATTAAGCCTGCCACATCCGGAAGGAGATAGAGGTGGTGCCATTAGCAAAGTATACACACCAGCTGAACATGGTGTCGAAGGTTCCATTTGGGAGTTGGCAAAGGCTTATGTTGCCGTAAATGACTCTGGCATTCATCAGCTGATCAGCCACTGGTATAAAGCTTCAACCTTGGTAACTGTAATTCAGGCTCGAATTTGTAATTGGTACTTAAATATCTTTGATTTCGACTGCAGGTTGAATACCCATGCAGTGATTGAGCCATTTGTGATTGCAACAAACAGGCAACTAAGCGTGCTTCATCCAATTCACAAGCTTTTGTATCCTCATTTCAAAGACACGATGAACATAAATGCATTGGCCAGGCAGATTCTCATTAATGCAGGTGGACTTCTTGAGTTGACAGTTTTCCCGGGGAAATATGCCATGGAAATGTCAGCTGTGACCTACAAGAATTGGGTTTTTCCTGAACAAGGACTTCCTGCTGATCTTATCAAGAGGTAATCATCAAGTCTAAACCACAATGACATTTCAGAAATAACCTAAAATAAAGACTTATTCATAAAAGTAGTAAAAATAAGAAAACTTGAGCAATCGTCAGAGAGTGGTCTTACTGATTTGCATACTACCTTTTCTTTATTTAGAGGGATGGCAGTTGAGGACTCAAATTCTCCACATGGCCTCCGCCTACTAATAGAAGACTACCCGTATGCAGTTGATGGATTGGAAATCTGGTCAGCGATCAAAACATGGGTTGAGGACTATTGCAACTTCTACTACAAGAGTGACGAAACGGTTCAGAACGACACTGAACTCCAATCCTGGTGGAAGGAAGTCATAGAAGAGGGTCATGGTGACAAGAAAAACGAGCCGTGGTGGCCTAAAATGCAGACATGTAAAGAGCTAATAGATACATGCACTACTATCATATGGGTGGCTTCTGCACTCCATGCAGCTGTCAATTTTGGACAATACCCTTATGCAGGGTACCTCCCAAATCGCCCAACCATAAGCCGCAGGTTCATGCCAGAGCCAGATACTCCCGAGTACGAGGAGCTCAAGTCGAACCCTGAGAAGGCTTTCTTGAGAACAATTACTGCCCAGCTGCAGACTCTCATCGGCATTTCCCTCATAGAAATTTTATCCAGGCATCCCTCGGATGAGGTTTATCTTGGGCAGCGAGACACTCTTGAATGGACAATGGATGCAGAAATATTGAAAGCCTTTGGGAAATTCGGAAACAAGATAGAAGATATTAAGAAAAAAATAGTAGTGATGAACAAGGATGAGAAATGGAGAAACAGGGTTGGTCCAGTGAAGGTGCCATACACTTTGCTCTATCCTACCAGTGAAGAAGGACTTACCGGCATGGGCATTCCTAACAGTGTCTCAATCTAAAGCTTTTCCTAGTCAGATTGCTATTTTTTATCAAAGTTTTAAAGCAATAAAATGTGTATTTTTTTTTTGGGTCCTTCGGGCACACCCCTAAGGCACCAAACTGGGATACTGTCGGCCCCACAACTACAGCACCAAGTTAGTCAAAGGTAATAAAAGAGGTGACAAGGCTCGAACCTAGGCGGATTGGGTGCCCAGGCCAACACCCTACCATCTCATCCAAGCCCCCGGGGCAAAAAAATGTATATTTCTTCACTTTAAATAAAAGTATGTTTATTTAGAATTCTGGGAATGCTAAAATACAAAAGCATTCTTTGATTTGGATAAGCAGATTAAATAGAGAGACAGGAGTCAGAACTCTCCACTCAATTAGATAAGAGTTCGTTTTGATAGGATGAATATTGTTTGTTTTATGTTCTCTAAAGTTGCATTTCTCATTAGTTTCAGTTAAAAAAATTCAGATATGGTGATAAGTTGCTTGTGCAAGTAAAAAGGCAACTGTGTGTGGTACATACTGAAATACTTCATGAGAATGAGTGTGTTTTTTCAGGCCAAAAAGATAGAACTACTTGTCATCTATAGATCTGTCAAACTTCTTCCTCCATGAAAGATCGGGGCCAAAATGTGTATCACGTCTACACAAGTAGGACGTATCTTTTCTTGTAAGTGTCAAGAACGTATACTTCTTACGCTCGCTTTTTCTGGATTTTGGCATATTATAGTTAACCCCTCTAATTGTACGATTGTAACAAATACTCTCTTCTTATGTTGTGTTTGGTATGAATGAAGAAAGAAAGTGCGGAGAAAAAATACAAAAGAAAAAATGCGCTTCGAAACACAGGAGAGGCTAGTATAACTATAATTTATCCTAATTTATCCTTGTATCAATTGGATTAGTCAATCAAAGTTAGAGGTTAGCTAAGAATTTAATTGGGATCAAGGATTAAAATTCTTGCATTAGAATAATTGCTTGACTTGATTGACTTGGCACATTCAATGAATCTGCAAGTTGGTGAAGAAGGAAAGCCATCCTTTCTTTCTCCACATGGCCAATGACTTTGCAGTCCACCACAGGACATGAGTCACATGACGCAATACTTGTGTGCATTCTTTCAACGTGGCAAATTAACAATAATTTTCTTTTAACAAAAAAAAAAAATTGACAATAATTTTCTAACATTTCCAAGACTGTCTAACACACCATTCGCAATATCAATAATTGTCATGATGTAATAAATTCATACAGAGTTAATATAAACTGATCGATATAAGTTACGTATCGAATTTTAAAAAAATTATTGTCGCAATGTAACGAATTTGGACATAATTGATATAAATTGATCTATACAAATTATATATCGAATTTAAAAACAAGAATTATAACATTTTAACATTCTTAGTTACCGGTTACATTATGACTACTAACTAGAGAGAATAATTTTATTTTGCTGTCACTTTCAAGAGGTGTAACAAAATAACAAATTAAATGAAAATGGCCAAACAAACAATGCTAAATATGGAGCAAAAGGAATTAAATTTTAATCACAATAAATATGAAACCATCACCTACGTACGAACTATACCACGGAACTTAGATTGGAAAGTGCATTGGAAAGAGCTTGAAGTCTCACTGCTTTTGTCTTGTCTAGTTGTCTCTTACTTATATATATATAGTCTTTTATATATATATGTATGTATATAGATATATACATATATATGGCAGGTAGAGGTTGACCTCAAACTAACCTTATCCCAGTCAACCTCTAATTAACCTTATCCCAGTACTAGAAAAGAAATGGTGTATTTCTTGACATTTGTGTTGGAAAAGGAATGAATGAGGAAGCTTACAAATATATTTCAGATTTAATATACATCTGTGTCAAACTAATGAAATTGAGATAAGCTCATCTCTTTTCCCTTCCAACTAAAAGGAAATTTAATTATCTTCTATGATTTCTTAATTTGGAAGAAAAATAGGAGAAAAATTGGGTATTAATTAAGTTGGATAATTTGGAAAATGAAATTGGCGATTTCTCGATTTACACTCAATGAATAAAGCTAATTTTGTTCTTGCTTTTTGGCAAAGAAAGGAAATGAAAAAAAGAAGAGTTAAGGTATATATTAGTAAATTTAATTTTCAACGGAAATAAAAATTAATTCTCAAAAAATTGGATGCATCTCCATTAATATAGGATTGATGAAGAACTGAATTGGCCAAAAATTAATTATGTATAAAAAAAAGTAGTAATACTTACACTAACCATTTATAGTGAATTACCTAATCGAATAATTTTTAATTAACTATTTATATCAAATACAATTAAGTGAAAAAGGTCTCCTTCCTTATTTATTATATAATTAACTAATTAAAAATGTACGTCTAATAAGAATCATTTCCCAGTCTAATAAGAATCATTTCCCCAATAAGAAATGAGTATAGATTACATCAAATGCTATAAAAAGCAAAATAAAGTCATTCAGAATGGTATCAGCACAATGGAAGCATCTCAAGTTCTTGGAATGTCCAACGGGGAAAAATAATAATAATAATAATAATAATAATAATAATGGAGAGTGTTTGTGTGTGTGTGAGAGAGAGAGAGATACATTAAATTAATGTTTGTGTGAGAGATTGTGCTACTCCTCCATTTCATAAAAAGTGTTACTTTTAGGAAACCGTGATTATCACAAATTAAACTGATACGATTTTCGCAACATAATACTATTTTTGGGGCCAAAGTAGTATTTATTAATGAGTAAAATGACTTGATGCTTTACAAAATCCTCCATTTTATGGAAAGGAAAATAAATTTAAATCAGTCCTCCATCAATTAAAAACTTCAAGATATGTTTTACAACCCCAATGAAAAAAAAAATTAAAAAAACAAATAAATAAAACAAAAGGTCCTGTCACTCATTATCCAAGTGGGGATCGACCTTATTTAATACTATGTGAAAGCCAAGTCAAGTCAGTGTGCAAATCTACAAAGTCTTTCAAAAAAGTTAAATTTAGCATACCCTAGTTAAAGTTCAGACTAGTAGAGCTTCCTGTGTGAACCAGTGAAGCTTTTCAATAACAATTTGGATACGAATCGCGTATCAAATTTGGTAAAAAAATTGCATAATAATGGACGAAGCAAAATCTAACATTCTTACTTACGCTTACATTATGACAGCCAGTGATAGAGAATAATTTTATTGTGCTGTCACTTTCGAAAGGCGTAACAAATTAAAAGAAAATGGCCAAACAAACAATCCTAAACATGGAGCAAAAGGAATTAAATTTTAATCACTATAAATATGAAACCATCGTCACCTACGTACCATGGAACTAGATTGGAAAGTGCATTGGAAAAGTTTGAAGTCTCACTACTTTTGTCAGAGTTGTCTCTTATATATGTGTGTGTGTGTGTGTGTGTGTGTGTATGGTAGGTGGTAGAGGTTGACCTCAAACTAAGAAAATGTGTGTTTCTTGACATTTGTGTTGGAAAAGGAATGAATTAGGAAGCTTACAAATATATTTTAGCTTTAATATACATATGTATCAAACTCATGAAATTGAGATAAGTTTATTTTTTTTTCCTTCTAACTACAAGTAAATTTGATTATCTTCTATGATTTCTTAATTTGGAAGAAAAATAGGAGAGAAATTGAGTATTAATTAAGTTGGATAATTTGGAAAATGAAACTGGCAATTATTTGATTTACACTCGATGAATAAATTTAATTTTGTTCTTGCTTTTTGGCAAAGTAAGGAAATGAAAAAAGAAGAGTTAAGGTATATATTAGTAAATTTAATTTTCAACGGAAATAAAAATTAATTCTCACAAAATTGGATGCATCTCCATTAATATAGGATTGATGAAGAATTGAATTAGCCTAAAATTAATTATGTATAAGAAAAAAGTAATGATACTTACACTAAACACTTACAATGAATTACGTAATGGAATAATTTTTATTTATTGTATAATTGACCAATTAAAAAAATAGGTCTAACAATTCCCTGCAATATTCAATTCACGAATCATTTCCCGAAAAAGAAATGAATGTAGATTACCATCAAATGTTATAAAAAGCAAAAAGTCATTCAGAATGGTATCAGCACAATGAAGCATCTCAAGTTCTTGGAATGTCCAACAGGGAAAATAATAATAATAATGGAGTGTGTGTGTGTGTGTGAGAGAGAGAGAGAGAGGGAGAGAGAGATTAAATTAATTAAATATACTAATTCAATAATAAGAATGAAGTCATATATATATATATATATATATATGAAAGAGATTGTGCTATTTATTAATGAGTAAAATGACTCCAAGATAAGTCATATATATGAAAGAGATTAGTCCTTCATCAATTATATTATTTATTTATGAAAGAGATTAGTCCTTCATCAATTATATATATATGAAAGAGATTAGTCCTTCATATATATATATATTATTTATTTATTTATTTATTAATGAGTTAAATGACTTGGTGCTTTACTAAATCCTCCATCTTATGGAAAGGAAAATAAATTTAAATTAGTCCTTCATCAATTACAAACTTGAAGATATGTTTTACATCCCCCAATGAAAAAATTTAATAAATAAAACCAAAGGGCCTGTCACGGGGGGGAGATCAACTTTATTTAGTACCACGTAAAAGCCAGGTCAAGTCGTCGTGCAATCTTCAAAGTCTTTCAAAAACAAAAAAAAAATTAGCAGACCCTTTGTAGAGTTCAGACTAGTGTGAACCAGTGAAGCTTCTCAGTAACAGCACCATAGTTGATCTTCATCTATAAATTGGTACCAACCCTTTCTTTGTTCAACTCATTCAATCCTTCTAAGTTGTGTCTCTTGTTTGTTTGCTTCTGATCACTTGATATCTTGTTGAGAGGAGAGAGAGAGAGAGATGTCTAATGAGGTTGAGGATATGAACAAGAGGACCAAATATGATGAGGAGGTGGGTGGTGAGAGCAAGAAGATCAGAGGGAAGGTTGTGTTGATGAAGAAGAAATTGCTGAATCTGGACATCGAAAACGTCGTAGCGTGGGCTCGTGATTTGGTTGATGAGAAATTTGGTGGAAATGAGGTCTCCCTGCAGCTCATCAGTGCTGTTAGCTGTGACACAGGTATGTTCTTGGCGTTCTATTTAGTTCAGAAACTCTTGTGTGTGGTGTGTGTGGTGTGTGTGGGTGTGTGTGTGTGTGTGTTTGTGTGTGTGTGTGTTCTTACTTTTTCAATTAATCTTCTGATTGTGGTTTGTGTGGTTCATGAAGAAACAAATTAAACTAAAGCTACTACTCCATTGTCCACAGTGGGAGTTAACATGCCTCTCTCTCTCTCTCTCTCTCTCTCTCTCTCTCTCACTCACACACACACACACACAGTCATCAGTACTATTTACAGGTACGTTTTTGGCATTCTATTTAGTTCAGAAACTTTTGTGTGTGTATGTGTGTGTGTGTGTGAACATGTGTTCTTACTTTTTCAGTTAATCTTCTGATTGTGGTTTGTGTGGTTCATGAAGAAACAAATCAAAACTAAAGCTACTACTCCATTGTCCACAGTGGGAGCTAACATGCCCCGCCCCACCCCCCCCCCCCCCCCCCCCCCCCCCCCCCCCCCTCTCTCTCTCTCTCTCTCACACACACACACACACACACAAACTGTTGCAGTTTGCCACCAAAGCTATGAGTGTCACAATACTCAATAGGGAATGAGACAGATCTTGCAGGTGAAAGTTGGTGTGCCTCAACAATGAGTCAATGGCCAAAACAACCAGTCAAGTGGTCCATTTTGTTATCATTTTGCCTCCCCAGAAGTGCATCTAATCATAAATCTAAATTAATCATTCAATTGATCACTGAATTAGATCTTGATCAGTCATAATCAAAGATTTTGATAGTAAATTTGTTCTTTGGGTTCATTGAATCTAGGTATTTCAAATTAGCAGCCTATTAGTTTTGTTTTTTTTTTTTTTTTTTTGTTAATTTGGTTCATCACTTCCACAGTTGGATGGATGGTTTTCTGGGCCATATACAATGAGTGATTTACTGATGGCAAAAACAATGTTTTTAATTTTTATTTATTTATTATTTATACTTTTTCTGTGGGGTAGGAATATTATAATATTCCTGTTAGCTTGTAAATGATGCAACATAATATATGCACATATATATCACACATACATCTATGCCTCTTTTTTATAAAAATACTTTTTCTTTGTTTTTTTTTATTATTAATTCAAAGGTAAACCTAGTGTTTGTTAGAGAGGATTCCTACCGCGCTTCTTGTGCACCAAAATGATGCCGTTTCGGTACAGAGAGCACCAACCCCAATGCATGCCCCATGAATTCTCTGTACCGGATCACCACAGGAGGGAATCCAAGTCCTTATGACATGGAAAAGCTAACCTTTAATCTCTTGAAATAAAGTGAACTAAGGCTTCCTAACTAGTTTAATCTTAAGCTTTATGGGTTTATGCAATATAAATTCTCAGTTAGAGAGTTTGGACTCTCAGTGTATGATAAAATGCCAAGCTTGGTCCACCTCTAGCTAGGAAACATTTAGGTTGACAATCAAAAGTATCATTGGATCTATATATATACATATCAAAAGTACATGTATAGTAAACTAAACTCTTTCTTGTTCATTTTCTAAATTCACAGTTGATGAACCCTAAAAGTACTAATTTTGAATTTGATGTATGTCTGCAGCAAAAGGGCTGCGAGGGAAAGTTGGAAAATCAGCAAAATTGAAAGATTGGTCTAAAATCACATCTCCGACTGCAAATGATTCAGAATTCAGTGTCACATTTGATTGGGATGAGGGGATAGGAGTTCCAGGGGCGTTCATAATCAGAAACACTCATCACACTGAATTATACCTCAAGACGCTCACACTTGAAGATGTTCCTGGTCACGGTCGGATCCATTTTGTCTGCAATTCTTGGGTTTACCCAGTTGACAAATACAAAAGAGACCGCGTTTTCTTCACTAATCAGGTATTAATCTAGCTTTTGAAGTGTGTGTGAATGACTTCTGATAACAAAATCTAATGGCCTTTATCGATGTTAAGCTTACCGAGAATCACATCAGCTGCACAGTTGGTTAATGTTCATACACAAGACAATCCATAAATCTGCACAATTGGATTATAATTTAGCTCGAGTTTATATACATTGTTAAGAAAGCACTTAGATGAACTAGCATAAGTGAAATTGTCTGCTAAAGAAACAAGTTATATGATATGTGTTGCAGACATATCTTCCAAGTGAGACGCCAGAAGCACTACGTCCATACAGAGAAGAAGAATTACTGAACTTGAGAGGAGATGGAACTGGAAAGCTTGAAGAATGGGACAGGGTCTATGACTACGCTGTGTACAACGATTTAGGTGATCCTGATAAGGGTTCAGAGTATGTCCGCCCAATTCTTGGAGGATCTACCAAGTACCCTTATCCGCGCAGGGGAAGAACAGGCCGCCCAAAAGCAAAAGAAGGTTGGATGTGTGTGTGTGTGTGTTTTGAGCTAGCTCCTCAACTTATCAACTGTGCCCTTGTTAACAGCTACATGTACTAACTGGGTAATGAGGAATTAATCAGGAAGATATTCACCTTTCTTTTCTTTTCATGACAGATCCTGAATATGAAAGTAGGCTGCCACTGCTCAAGAGCTTATACATTTATGTTCCTAGAGATGAACGATTCAGTCACATAAAGATGTCTGACGTCGTCATTTATGGACTGAAATCCATAGTCCAATTCCTTCTTCCTGAGATTAAGGCTCCATTCGACAAAACTCCCAATGAGTTCGACCAAATTGAAGACATACTAAAACTTTATGAAGGAGGAATCAAGCTACCTGATTGTCATTTAATCGACAGTATTAGAAAAGAAATTCCCTTTGAGACTCTAAAGGAGCTGCTTCGACCTGATGGTGACAGGCCATTCAAATTCCCAGTGCCTCAAGTAATCAAAGGTACACATACAAGATAGCCATTTCTAATTGCACTCAACTTTTGGGACATTGCTTCAAAGTTTTGTGACTTATCTATGATATGCTATTTACCTATCATGTCTATCTGGAGCAGAGGATAAGTCTGCGTGGAGGACGGATGACGAATTTGCAAGAGAAATGCTAGCAGGACTAAACCCTGTTGTCATCTGTCGTCTCCAGGTATTTTTCATTGTGTACATTCTCATGCTCAATTTCTTCGCGGAGAAAAATGAATTTTCTTTTCGTTTCCATGCATATATCAGCAGTAAATGGCAGCATTGTGGTGTTTGATCTTTGCTAATTACTTGCAGGAGTTCCCTCCAAAAAGCAACCTGGATCCTAAAGTTTATGGCAAGCAAGACAGTTCAATGACTGAAGAACATATAAAGGACAGCCTAGATGGGTTAACTATACAGAAGGTATTATTAGATTAACTCCTTTCACACAAAAATATAATATCAAATAATCGAATCACTTTATCTCAATTAGTCGACTGTAGACTCGTACCATAAACAATGATAACAGTTTGAAATGTTTTGTTGAATAGGCAATCAAGAATAACAAGATGTTCATATTAGATTACCATGATACATTGATGCCATACTTGACGAGGATCAACAACATGACTTCCACAAAGACGTACGCCACAAGGACAGTCCTCTTCTTGAAAAATGATGGAACTTTGAAGCCATTGGCAATTGAATTAAGCCTACCACATCCAGAGGGAGATGAATTTGGAGCCATTAGCAGAGTATGTACACCAGCAGAACATGGTGTCGAGGGTACTATTTGGCAGTTGGCTAAAGCATATGTTGCAGTGAATGACTCTGGCTTTCATCAGCTCATTTGCCACTGGTATGAATCTGCAAGAAAAACTTTGGTGATTAAAATTTAGGCTCTTTCTTGTAATGGGTTGCTGAATATCTTTGATTGTGGTCACAGGTTGCACACACACGCAGCAATCGAGCCATTTATTATTGCAACAAACAGGCAGCTGAGTGTGCTTCACCCTATCAACAAGCTTTTGCATCCTCATTTCCGGGACACGATGACCATAAATGCACTTGCTCGACAGACACTCATTAATGGTGGTGGACTGCTTGAGAAAACCCTTTTTCCAGGAAAATTTTGCATGGAAATATCATCTGTCCTTTATAAGGACTGGGTTTTTCCTGAGCAAGCTCTCCCTGCTGATCTCATCAAGAGGTAAATCATAAAATCTAAACCATATCTTTGTAATTTAACAGGGAGTCTTTAAATTCAGAAAGCAAATAGAAAAAACCAATCTACTAAATTATGTACTAATAAACAAGTTTGGCATGATTTTAGGCATAGGCATTGAAATTTTGGTAAATTACAATGGTCTTAACAAAGCAGACCACAAACCTTCTTTGAAGTTGTGATTTTACTGATTCAACATGCTACCTTTTTTATTTATTCAGAGGAATGGCAGTTGAGGACTCAAATTCTCCGCATGGAGTCCGCCTACTAGTAGAGGACTACCCCTATGCTGTCGATGGGCTTGAGGTCTGGTCTGCAATCAAATCATGGGTTCAGGATTACTGTAACTTCTACTACGAGAGCAATGAAATGGTTCAAAAAGACACTGAGCTTCAATCCTGGTGGAAGGAACTACGGGAGAAGGGTCATGGTGACAAGAAAGATGAGCCCTGGTGGCCTAACATGAAGACTCGTGAGGACTTGATCAACACATGCACCATTATCATATGGGTGGCTTCTGCACTCCATGCAGCGGTCAATTTTGGGCAGTACCCTTATGGGGGCTACCCCCCAAACCGTCCAGCCATGAGCCGCCGGTTCATACCAGAACCTGGTACTCCTGATTATGATGAGCTTGACTCCGCTCCTACAAAGGCTTTCTTGAAAACAATTACTGGCCAGCTGCTGAGCGTTCTTGGCATTTCCCTCATTGAGATTTTGTCCAAACATTCTTCGGATGAGGTTTTTCTTGGGCAAAGAGACACTCTCGAATGGACAACAGACACAGAACCATTGAAGGCCTTTGAGAATTTTGGAAAGAGACTGAAAGAAATTGAGGAAAAAATTATAAAGATGAACAAAGATGATAAATGGAAGAACAGGACTGGGCCAGCGAACATGCCATACACTTTGCTCATTCCTGCCAGTGAAGTTGGACTTACCGGCAAGGGAATTCCCAACAGTGTCTCAATCTAGATGTCCTTATGCTCTACTAATAGTTATTATACAGTTTTAATATGCAAATAATGTGGAGAAACAAGCATAAAGCATTACAAGAAACTTTCTTCAGCACATTAGCTAGCATTAGTGTGTATCAGGCTGAAATAAGTTCATATACTGAACTTCACGTCTCTTAAGAAGTAAAATCTTTCTAGCTACATAGAGCAGAGCTCAGTTTTCTAGTATATGCTATTACTTGAGCAACACAAAGCTCCATTTCTTGCAATCTTTGTCATTTCACATAATGTGTGTCTGCTTTAAACATTAAAGTTTAAACTAAGCGCACAAACAGAGCTGTCACTAAAGAGTTAGAAGCTCCACGTATGAGTGCATTGCAAAAAGAGCTGTCATTGAAACATAAAGAGTGACTACCAAAAGCCTAATTGCAACAAAGGAAAATTACAGTTGAGAAAGAGAGCGTATGTAAGAACTACAGATTGACTTTTGTGCCTCATATCTTCTTTTAAGTTCCTCCTTTTTTATATTCTACCGCTTAATAAGAGCTGTCATTATTGTCATATACTATGTTCTTTTGGTTATAGTTCAAGGAATGTCTTGTTTGTCAATTGATCAGAGGTTTTGACTTAGTTTCAACAATCTTATCTTGAATCCTTTAACAAACTGTATTGTTGATATCACAAATGTTATCTTGAATCCTTTAACAAACTGTATTGTTGATATCACAAATGGGCATTAGCCCAAATGGTATGAGATCTCCTCCCTCGTTCGAGCCTTGTTAGGGGCAATATTGTGACTGTGTGCGTGTGTTGCTTGAACATTCGGGAAAGGGGGAAAAAAAATCAATTGTTGATATCAATCTACATTGAAGTTTGCAATAAAAATTTAGGAGGCTTGGTAGATGACAACCGATGAGCCAAACATAAACCAAGTTCATGTATATAAAAATGTTTGTCCACTGAACTCTGTATGAAAATGTTAATTAATGATGAAAAGCAGTTTTCCTTAGAAAACTACCATAAACCTAGAAATAGTATAGCAACACAATCATGAAAATGCCGACCAGTTTATTTTGGACTTGATTGTACACGTCAAAATTGAATAATGAAACCAAATGAAGGAAGCATGAAATCAGCATAGCTAATCAATTTATGTTGGATAAAAATTTAGTTTAACAGAGAGCTATTGAGAAATGTGAGAAGTTTTAAGAAAATAAAAAATGAAGAGGGACAAAAGGCTTGAAAGCAAAGATGGGGAAGCTCAAGAAACAATACACAGTTTACATATACAGGACCTTGTTTTGTCTATGGAAATTTTGAGGAAAAGCCTCAGATTACAATTTTCCAAGGGGCAAAATCATCACCAAGCAGGCCTTGAGAATCCATTTTGCAATGGGCAAAATCAATTTCTTAAGCACTGTTTTCTGTCTCAAGAGGGAAAACTGAAAATATTGGTTTTTTTTTTTTTAACCTTAAAATAAGATCTTTGAATTAAGAATGCAAAAATTCACACAAGTACAGGTGTAAATGTACACAATAAAAACCCAGAATTAAGAAACTCCAAAACAAACAAAGATAAGAGTAATCAATCAAGTATAAACAGCACTAGAAGTAGTGTTTTAATAGAAAAGCAAAACATAAATTGACTAGAACATTATAAAAGCCATGAAGAATTTGTTTTACAGGCACAAACCCAGTTCATTCCTCAGTTGAAGAAGGACCTAACCCAGTTGAAGGGCTATCAGCATAATAATCTTGATGTTTCACATTGATGCCATACTCTCGCAGAGCACTAGAGAGGTCCTCCATTGTCAAAATCAGGCGCTTATCCTTTTGCTGCTTATCTCTTTTGTCCTTGACTACAGCTGACTGTCTTGCCTTGCATTGCTGAAGAGCATCAGACGCAACCTCTGCAATGAATTTCTGAGTAGCAACAGATACCAACCTAATTAATCGAACATCAGGACATTGAAATCCGGTTTTCGCTAAGTAATGCTCTACCATTTCGTCAGGAAGAGTAGGGGTGTAGTCCATCAAAGATGTGAGAAAATCCGACAGTGCAGTATCGTCATCATGTCTGCCATCATTCGATTGCTGGCCGTGGTTCATCTTCTCTCTATCTATAGATAAAAATGGGAGATCAGTAAATTGCTGGGAAAAAAAAAAAAAAACTGAAAATATAGTCCTGATAATTTTAAGAACTGAATTTTTTAAGTGCTAAATTTATAAATTTGAAAACTTGTTTGATATTGCTGAAATCTAAGTGCTGAATTTATAAGACCGTTTGAGAAGTACAAAACACTGAACTCTGAAAATTGACCAGTTTACAATTTTTACCCTCAATACCCTGCAGTAAATTTAAAAATTCCTAGTTTTTTGGTTTTCTTTTCTCCTTCTAACTTCTGAAATAGCATTGTCCATATCCAAATGAGCTTATCCTCACAAAAGATACTACAAGCAATAATATATAATGGATCAATCACTTAAAGCATTTTCATGTCATCAAAAACACTAACTGCTTTTCAATACTAGGTCCATCAGACTTTTCTAATATCTTAAGAACAGCCAGTAACTAGTTATCAATATCTACAATTAGATCAAGTAACGTGAAGAACAATCAAACAAAGTCAGCGTAATACAAATAACAAGATGATGTGAAGAAGTTATGAACATGATACTGTTTAACAGACCAACTTATATTGTCTATCGCAAACCATTAAAAAATATATATAATCAATCACTAATATTCTGAAGTTCGGGTATAATTCTAACAAGTTCAGGTACAATTCATTACACAAAAGGTATTGGACTTCTTTTCTGGAACTTTTTAATTCTTCTTCTTCTCTCTCTTTCTCTCTTGTGTATTTGGGAAGAGAAAAATTCTGAAATTAGAGGCATTGAGGAGTATCTAAGGCTCTAAGCATAGAAACACACATACTTTTTTAGTTTGTTTAGTAGACAATAGAAAGACCCACTTTAGAACTCCAAACATGAATTTTTTTTAGGTGAATGGGCTTAGTAAAATTCTACCAATCGTCACAAGACTATGAGTTTTTCTTTTTTAATTATGCTATACTGATGAAGAACGTGTTACTTATATTATTCAAATCGTAAATCATGATAATAACTAGAAATAAGTAAAGAACCTCGTTCTCAAAGCTTCGACTTCAATATAAAAGGAATGGGATCTCAAATAGAAGTTCAATTCTAATTATTAAAGATTTGGAATGGAAGTAAAATTACTTTTGCTTTTGTGTGTGTGGGTGGGGATGTTGGATTAAAACCAAAAACTGAGTTCCCATTTTGAATTGGCACTCTGTAATTACCTTCCAAAATAAATTTCTAGTCAATTAATTTCCTTATCCATCATTTATTACATTACAGCTGCAACAATCAAATATATTGCTGAGATTGAAACCTAAGCTTCTTTTGTGGCTTGGATGATTATGGATGAAACTCTTTGCTAATCAAACCCAAGTCCACTTGCCATTAAAAAAAATAAAAAATAAAAAAGGAAAACCCAGGTACCCAATTCTAGAAAACAAGAAGGTTCAAACAAAAACCCTAATTTAACTCAAGTAAATTAACAACTACATCATAGTAAAACGAAAAATCTCAGAAAATTTACTGAGTCAAATACTCATGCTAGAAGAGAGATTGTTTCTATTAACCCTGATATCCAAATATAGAACCCTAACTTAACTGGATAGCAAATATATCATATATTGTATAATGAGAAATCTCAGAAAATTATTCATACAAATATTCATGCTAGAAGACAGGATTTTTTTTTGTACATAACAACAAAGATTTAATGAAATAACTGTGCATCACTCACCTTGATCTAATAGAAATCAAAGGAGCATCTATAAAGCGACTTGATGCTGTTACTGTGAGAGGATCACCAGTGTACAAGAAGAAGAGAAGAGGAAAGGCGTCTTTTTAGAGAGAGAGAGAGAAGCCGTCAATAAGAGAGCTTTAACCCAAACGGATGCTGTTACTGTGAGAGGATCACCAGTGTACAAGAAGAAGAGAAGAGGAAAGGCGTCTTTTTAGAGAGAGAGAGAGAAGCCGTCAATAAGAGAGCTTTAACCCAAACGAGTCATATTAACTCTCTCTCTCTCTCTAGATATATATATATATATATATCTAATATATATTTATAATTAACACTTAAAATTCAACTTTTTTCGAACAGAACATGATGTATTTTGTATTTTTCATTTAATGACAAGTCAATATTGTTTAACCTACACCGGTGCCCTAAGTATTTAAGGGGTGCCTTGTAAATTCGGACTTCTTGAGTTTAACACTTAGGCTCAGTTTGGTAGAGTGGGTTTGAAGGGAAAGGGAAGGGAAGGTGATGGAAGGTTATAAAAAAATTGTGTTTGGGTAAAATTGGTGGAAGGGAAGGAAAGGAGAGGGAAGGGTTTGGAGGGTTAAGGCAAGGCTTGAACAGTAGATTTGTTAACCTCTCAAAAATGGGCGGAAACGGAAGGAAAAGGAAGGCAATGGCACATGTGATAATCGTGATGCCAATTTTACCCACACAAAATCAAGGATTTAGTTAAGCAAAACAAGAATTACAGACCTTAATTGGTTGATTTAGCAAAACAAAACCCGTACATATAAGTTAGCCATTGCACAGAGAAAGAGAGGGGGGAAGCTTACAGCGGCTGAAACTTGCGTACAGCGAACCCGAACTGGAACAACCGGCGATGGAAACGGCGAACCCAAACTAGAACAGCGGGCAAGAGAAACTGAAAGATATGGGTTTTGATTTTTGGAACAATCTGAAACAATATGCGGATATGGGTTTTGAACCTTTGATTCTTGCAAATGATAGATAAACATATGGGTTTGGAACTTGGATTGTTGTAGTTTTGTGGTTTGCAGTTGCAAAAGAGAGAGAGTGTTGCAGAGAGAGAACGAGAATAGAGATGGAGGCGGGGACCCTAAAATGATGACCCTAAAAATATTATATTTATATTAATATTTTTCTTTTCTTTTTCTTTTTCTTTTATTTTTTTTTTTTTTTTTTTTTTTTTACAAATATTACATACTTAAGTTATTAATTTTTATTTTAAATTATAAAAGGGTATAATAGTAAATTTACCGAAATACTTTCCTTTCCTTTCTTTCCCCAAACATAATTATTATCCTTCCCTTCCTTTTCCTTCCTTAATCAACCAAACACAATACTAAATTAAAATTATCCTTCTCTTCCCTTTCCTTCCATTTCCCTCATAACTAATCTTATCATTCCCTTTCAAACCCACCCTACCAAACATAGCCTTATTGAAATAAAAAAATACCCGAATTTAAATGATTGGTGAAGTCCTAAACTCAGGCGTTTTGAGTTGGCTACACAAAATACCTCATCTCTTTTATTTTATCTCCTAGTCTCATCTCTTTTATTTTATCTCCTAGTCTCGTCTCTATTGAACGAAATAATTTTGTTCTTTATTTTTGTCATCTATACTAAATAAAGCATAAAATACTTTTTGTAATCTTTCTGATTTTTTTAATTTTTAATTTTTGGAGATTTTTTGATCTTTTGGATTATTTTAATCATTGTCTTATTTTACATGCCGGACATTACAGGGTGTGTTCTGAGATTTGGTTGGGGCATTTCCTTAAGTTCAGGACCCTTGAAAATGCATTGGCTGCCATTTCGATTTTTTTTTTTCCCGTGTTTCAGGTCGGGAGGTCTCGGGTGGCATCCGCAATCGGAGTTGTTGTGCACAAGAATTATTTTTTTCGAGTTCGTTGCATTTCTTACATTATTTATTTGATGCATATATATGTGGATACATGATTTGGATAGTAGTTGTAATGTGTTAATGTGTTTATATATATATATATATATATATATATATATATATATATATATATATATATATATATATTTGGTAAAGATGATAATTGTTGATGTGGGCCCCACCTAGCACTAAGTGTGATTTATATCATCACATACCACATTCTGGCCATTTATTTTCTTCTGTCACGCAGCCCCTTTCTCTCTCTGCGTGAAATCCATTTTCTCTCACTAAATCACAAATTATAAAACTTGATTTCATCATTTTTCACTTGGATTTCAACTTTGCCTTCAATGGCAAAGTTGATGAGCTCGTTGAGGACTAAGTTTTGATCGGAGTTGATCTTGATTTGGACATCCTAGGGTTTTTGAATTTAGGGGCTTAATTGGGTGCAATTTGGGATTTTTTTCTATACTTGAGGTAAGGGTTTCCTAAAGCATACAACCTTTGTTTTTGGTGAATTAATTCTTTAAATTTGAGTTACCAACTTGTATAGAATTTAGCCTTTATTCCAAGCATATTTTGTGAAGTTCCAAATCTGAAATTCGTAGTTTCAATAATAGTGTGTGATATGTATTTAGAAACTGAGATAGTGAACTCCCCTAAATGTTGATTTTGTTGTGTACATAAAAACTGAAACTTAAATAATTAGCATGATTGTGTTTTGTCGTTTTACAAAAACTAAAATTCCTATGCTTGAATGACTTCAATTGTGGGACCGTTTTGAGATAAGGATTGTTGTTATTGTTAATGCTCAAAAACTGAAAATTTTAGCTCATATGGTGGTGGGTATTATGTACTTAGAAATTCTATTTGAGCTCCCCTAAATGTTGATTATGTTTGTGTACATAAACTGAAATTTTAGTAATTAAATTGATTGGGTTGTTGCTGATTTACAAAAACTAAAATTTTATGTTGAACTTACCTCATATGCGGGGCTGTTTTGTTGTAAGGATTATAGTTGATGGTGTTGCTAAAAAATTGAGATTTGTAACTTCTTTAATGGTGCATAGTACGTGCTTATAAACTGAAATATAAGCTTTCTAAATGCTGATTGTGTTATGTGAAAAAAAAATAGTAAATTTAGTAATTCCATAGATATGTTTTTTTGTGTTTGCAAGCTGAAATTTATATGTTTAAATTACCTCATATATGGAACTGTTTTGTTACAAGCTTGTTATTGTTCTTGTTGTTGTTCAAAATCTGAATTGGTGCCTGGACTTTACAGCATGAATGATTATGTTATTGTGGTTTCAAAATTGCTATATTGATTTGCCATTAAGTATAATTTATAGAACTGAAATTTGATGTGGAGATGCTATAACATTATGAGATTTTGAAGGATGTCATTCATGCATCACATTGGGTATTACATGGGGCAAAAAAAAAAAAAAAGACTTTTTTTTAGGAGGAGATTGTATTTTTGAAATGAAAGCAATAACTGAAATTTTGGGGATTTCATTTGCAAGATTGCATTATGTGATGGTTATTACTTCCCGAACAAGTATGAACCATTTCCTTATTGTTATTCTTTGTTTGGATTCACGGAAGCATTAAGGAGTGCGTATTAGGTATCTTCTACTGAGTCGTTATGCTCACTCCTTACTAATATTTTTTTTCGGGACACGGAAATGAAGTGGCGAAAGACATTCCCCACAGGCTTAGATAGGACTTGACGAACTTTCTTGTGTTAATTTTCTATTATATATACAAGTCTTGTAAAACTTTAAACTTGTTTTATATCTCTTTTGTAAACTTATGTTCACGGACTGTGGTCGGATGTAATGTATCATGTAAATGGACTTTTTGGTTTTTTTTTTTTTTTCTGTCTACATGTATGATCATGATATTACCATTATAGATGCATGTGGTGACTGTTGTGGAACAGGGTTAGCCTTTAATATAGCTCACAAATGAGTTCGGAAATTACAGGACTTTAGAAACTTAGAATCCGTATTTCAGTTTTTAGATTTGTATGATATGTTCCCTTGTAGTTTAGAATTGAGAATAACTGTAGTGACAGTAGATGACATCGGGTTTGAGTATGGACCCAAATACTGTTCGGACCCCTGGGTTCGAGTTGTTACAAATTTGGTATCAGAGCTTTAGGTTCGAAAACCTAAGGACGACGGGTAGGTTTGACCCAAGTTAAGTTAGAGTTGGGATTGACAGTATTGCATGCTTATGTGGTTATTGTTTATATAGTTAAAAGCACAGCTTGTTATTATGTGTTTACATGTGAATCGATTATGAGACTTATAAAATGCTGATTAAATTTAAACATGCTAAATGATAATGTGTTTATTTTTATTAAGTTGTTGTTTAATAGATGTGAAAGCATGCATATTTGTGTGATACCCCTCGATTCTAGAATCACAGGTGATCAAGTCCGGGCACAAATCCGAGGGATACCAAACAATCAATATGTAATTGAACACAGAATATAAAAAAAAAAAATGAAATAAGACAAAATAATAATAAGCTGATAAGAATTCTAAATACGAAAAATCCTTCAAATAAAATTTTAATATAATTTAAACCTTCCAATCCTTACAACTCGGGAATCCACCAAGTGGACCCCTAATAATCCTCAACTGCAAATGAAATACAGAATTAAAACCCAAGACTAAAATAAGAAAGAGACTCCTATATAGTCGGAAGAGCGAGTGTCTGTATCTGCATCACCACGATCAAGCCATAAGCCTGGTACTCACGAACACCTGAAAAACAAGGGTGGCTCAGGCCCACATGCAAGTTCCATACTACTACAATCTATACATAAACCCGATACGCAGATACATCCTAGATAGCTCGGCAATAGTTAAAATAGTCCATTAGATATAGATACACACTATAGGACGCTCATTAGTCCAATAGGTCTGTCTCAGCCTGAGTAGAGATACTATGCAAGTCGCACATACTGTGGTCATGTGTATCTAGACCTACCAGGAAACAACACCTATGTCCAGTTATCCATCCTAGGCGATATACGCACCCTAACCATGGTCCTGAGACTCAAGCTTATACCATGGCACCATAATGATATGTATATAAAGTCCGTATACTCCTAATACAAAATATCATCCATCTTTTGTAGTGGTCTGATATAAGTATAACAATCCATCCAGAAACCAAAGTAGGTCATTCAATTCATAATTGATATGACACAAATATGAGTGGGACTGAACCTTTATGGTAAATTCACACCTCAATCCAGAATAGGTAGGTTATAGTGTTTGAACTAATCCATACCTAGTATGCCACCGTCCCATACCGGTGCATACCATCCTCCATCCAATATAGTTG